CCCGGAGCCCCGCCCAGGCCCCTGGCCACGCCCCCCGGGCGCGGGCGCCGCCTGCTGCGGAAGGAAGGTTGCCACATCCCGGGATTGCCACCCGCCGGGAGGGGAAGCCGCAGGTTGCAGCATTGGACTACGTATCCGGCGGCCGGATATGGGCTCATGACTCCCAGGAAAAGCAACTTTAGGGTTCAGGAGGGGAAGAGCAGACTGTGGACGCGGCTGTAGCCGCGACCCACCGTCGTGGGCGCCCGAGGGTGGGGGAAGGAACCGCAGCCGGCAAAGATACAGGGAAGACAACCGACATGAAATCAACTTTATTGTGTTCACAGAACATACTGGGGGACCCCGACAGCCACCCTCTGACAGCCCACCGACCCCTGACCTTGCAGCCACCTCTACCTAAGAGGTAACTTCGAGGAGATCGGCCACGGACCTTACTTATTCCCGGTAGGCTGTCGAAGCCTCCCGCGGTTGAACGTCGAGATGCTGGAGATCGGCCGGCGAACCGGGTGTTTACTCCCTAATCCCAATACCCACCACCGCGCCGGACCCCTAAACCGGGCGTCCTCCCCCAACTTCTGGCTCAGCTCTAGGCGCCCGGCCCTCCACCAAAAGCCCACAAAACTCAATAAATACCAAGATGTGCATCTACACAGCAAGGAAGCATAGCTCGCTCCCATGCATAAGTTAAAATAAATATTACATACTTCCCTCCATCGCCTAGGAGGACATACATAAATACATTTAAATATTAAGTAGGAGCACTGAGGAATAAATTAACGCCGCTCTCCTTTTCCACTGGGCCTGGGCCGGACTTATCATCCATGCCTCGGTCTCGCCCCCTCAAGCACCAGCTGGCGTCTTTCTGCGCTGTAGTGTGTTCTGAGTTCGAGTTCCCTTTATGGGTCCCAGTGTGGGATACGATTTCAAGCATCAGGTGTGTAGGCCTGGTGTTCTTTGTTTTCCCCCCCGATTGTTTGGTGGTGGTGTGGGACGTCCCGGCTAGAAGGCGGCTGGGTGTTGCTGGAGAAAGGTGCTGAGGTCCAGAGCGTAGTCTGCAGGCTCCAGGGTAAGATTAAAGGGTTCGAGGACCGGGGGCGCAGGGATGGACTCAGGGACCCCGGCGCTGGGGGCGTCCTCCAGGATAAGGGGCGCCGGCACACTCTCTTCAGCCATCAGGATCTGGCAGAAGACGATGGTGAGCAGAACGAAGAGGAGCCTTTTGGCTGGGTTCGGTTCCTCGGTTGGCACCTGGCGCCGCACCTGAGAGGGAGACAAAACAGCGGAGAGGTGAGGTCAAGGGCCCGGCCGTGTGATCGTTACCCCTAAGGTACTAGGGTGCGGTGTCCCCCGGCTGCCCACTTGAGCGACACTCACCACTCGGGGGTAGAGGACCCGGCGATTGCGCTTCCGGTGCCCGCGAGAGGCGCTGGGGCGCGTGGCTGGGGCTGCCGCGGGTTCCGGCAGTGGATCGAAGGTGAAGATCTCCGGGCCCGAGCCCCGCCGGACTCCCGGACTAGTGGAGGGGCTAGAAGCCGGGGCCCGCAGGCCGGTCATGGTGGGAAGAGAGCTGCGAGAGTGACACATAGCGACGGCAGTAGACGCTAAGGGTGATTAAGGATGAGTGCGGACCAGCTGCCGGGCGACGTCGTATATACTCCCTCGAGAGGGGCGGGCCCTGCTCACCCCTCCCCTCGCCGCCGGGGAGTGGTAGGCTGGGGCCGGTTGGAAATTCCGACGATTTAGCAAAGGGAGTGGGTGGAGACGAGCCCTGAGCGTCCCCAAGTGCTCCAGTGCACGTTGGTGAGTGAGTAGCCCTGATTGCTGAAGGGTGAGATCCAGATCCCTGAGGGTGAGCACGTGTGGGGACGTGTGGCAGCTGGAGAGGGGCTCACGACAGTTTAAGAGAGCGCCACCATCCTGGGAAGGCTGAGTGTGTGCAGGGCAAGAGGGGGATTTACAGAAAGGAGATCTGGCCTTTCTGTGACCCAGCAAGTTCAAGGAACCACAAAATGCACATTCACATACTTGCAATTTTGCGTGGAAAACACACAGACTAGAGGGAAAGTCATTGAAGTTATCCAAAAGACTAAGACACGAAAACACCAACACAGCCCTGCCTGCTTTAGCATGCATGAAACCGAGCATATATACCATATGCACAAAACTCACGTTACACGAGCATAATACTTATGTGAACATAACACACACACACACAAAGATGCAGACTGCATAAAGACAACTCAACAAAGCTATTTAGGAATGAACAAAAATATTCAGACAAAAATTAGTGCAGAGAGGCACCAAGTACAAAGGCAAGAGGCTGGTGGCCCTACAAGTGTGCCCATGTATGGGTCAAAAAACAGTATGTAAAGAACTTTAAAATTGTGACATTGTACAAATGTTATCGTAGTTACCAAACACAGATTTGACACATTTTCATAACTGCTTTAGAGACTGCAGCTCAATTGAACATTTTTGGAGCATTTGTCTGTAGCAGGCACTCTGATGGTTGCATTGTTGGAGCCAGCCACAGCTACTGGGGTGGGGGTGGGGGACCTGAGGATTACTTGAGCCCAGGAGTTCCAGATCAGCCTAGGCAACACAGTGATATAATAAGACCCTGACTCAAAAAATAAAAGAAACTGGGTGGGCTCATGCCTGTAATCCTAGCTACTCAGGAGAGTGAGATCTGAGGGTCACAATTCAAAGCCAGGCTGTGCAGGAAAGGCACTGAGACTCTTATCTCCAATTAACCACCAGAAAACTAGAAGTGGTGCTGTGGCTCAAGTGGTAGAGTGCTTGCCTTGAACATAAAGAGCTCAGGTATAGTGCCCAGGCCCTAAGTTCAAGCCCCACAACCCACAAAAATAAAATAAAGTAAAAGTAAAAGAAAAAAGTTTACTCTCAAGAGTTCTGAGGTGGGCTGGGAAGGTGGCTCAGTGGTAGAGTGCTTGCCTTGCATGCTCAAGGCCCTGGGTTCGATTCCTCAGCACCACATAAGCAAAAAGAAAAAAAGCCGAAAGTGGCACTGTGGCTCAAGTGGTAGAGTGCTAGCCTTGAGCTGAAGAGCTCAGGGACAGCACCCAGGCCCAGAGTTCAGGCCCCACAACCGGACCCAAAAAAAAAAGAGTTCTGAGGTTAGTTTCAGTGTATGTTCTGCAGAGTAAGACATCCCAGATAAAACTGTCACTTTGGCTTTAGAGCTTTGTCCTCTGGTTCAAGGAGATGATCTGAGAGTCCTAAGAAAAGTGTTAAAGAGGGCTGGGAGCCGGGCGCTGGTGGCTCACGCCTGTAATCCTAGCTACTCAGGAGGCTGAGATCTGAGGATCGCGGTTCAAAGCCAGCCCGGGCAAGAGAGACCGTGAGACTCCTATCTCCAAGAAACACCAGAAAACCGGAAGTGGCGCGCTGTAGCTCAAGTGGTAGAGCGCTCGCCTTGAGCTGAAGAGCTGAGGGACAGCCCCCAAGCCCAGAGTTCAAGCCCCACGGCCGACAAAAAAAAAAAAAAGAGGGCTGGGAATGTAGCTTAGTAGTAGAGTGCTCGCCTAGCATGCATGAAGCCCTGGGTTTGATTCCTCAGTACACATAAACAGAAAAGTCCAGAAGTAGGTCTGTGGCTCAAGTGGTAGAGTGCTAGCCTTTAGCAAAAGAAGCTCAGGGGCAGGGCCCAGGCCCTGAGTTTAAGACCCAGGAGTGGAAAAAAGAAAAGAAAAGGTAAAAACAGTTAAAGAGAACCCCAAAGAGCTAGTGTATGACTAACTAGAGGAAGTTTCATGGAAAAGTGGCATCTGAGATGACCTTCACATTGAATGGGATATGACAAAATCAAATGTGAAAGATGACTTTGAAAATGAGGATGGCATCCACAAAGGCCTTGAGCTGGAAAAGTACAGGAAGCATTTGGGGGAATTTTAAGGAAAATCCTCGTAGAGTAAGTTTCCTGTAAAGGAGTCGTGGGAAATATCAATGGCTGGAAAGGTGTTTGGTAAAGTGAAGATAGCTTAGCTGGCAGACCAAGAGCCTGGGTTTGACTCTGAATCCTGGAGCTGGAGGATCTGAGGACAAGATAAAAAGAAGAGCAGTTCAAATTGGAAAGAAACTGGAGTAAGGACTGTGCCCTGGGTCAAGGGAAACTGAGGCAGGGAACAGGACACGACTTGAGGGACTCAAGTAGAAAGTGACAGTACCTGAAAACGTAGCCATAAGTGACATTTGTATCAAAGATCACTAGAATTTGGCCATGAGATGGGTGCCACATCAGGAAGGGAGCTGGGGGGGTGGTACAGAAGGGGGGTGAGTTGTTGACCGCAGCAAGGTGATTTAAAAAAAAAAGACCAAAGCAGACCTCAGGGGTTCAAGATGTATCTGGCTCTGATTTTTTTTTGCACTGGTCCTGGAGCTTGAACTCAGGGCCTAGGTACTGTCCCTGGGCTTCTTTTGCTTAAGGCTAGTATCCTACCACTTGAGCCACAGTTCTACTTCTGGCTTTTTCTGAAGCTTAATGGAGATAAGTGTCTCATAGCCGTTACTGCCTGAGCTTGCTTCAGACCTTGATGCTTGGATCTCAGCCTCCAAAGTAGCTAGGATTACAGGTATGAGCCACCAGTGCATTGCCTGGCTCAGGTCTTTATACATCATATTAAGCCTGATCAACAAACTAAGAAAACACAGAGGCTGGTGGCTGAGTTATACAGATCTTTGTGTCTGTGGTAAAACCCAGCATGGTATCTTGCTGGTAGTAGTTTCTCATGTTAAATGAAAGACAAAAATACAGAACTATAAATACCCATGCAGAAATATAAATTCACACATTGACTAGGTTTCCCCGAGCTTCTGATACATGGGTGTACTCCTAAATCCTCTGTACACATTCACAATGTCTTAAGAAAAACTGGGACAATCTTACACAGACATCAAATAGGACATATGGAAAGGCATTTTTCAACCAAGGATGTATAGGAAGGTAAACAAACCCTAAAACTGAGCTACAAATAGATTATTACTGATGCTCTATGCAATTGCTTCCTGGGTCTATATATAGCTATGTATTACACTTATTGCTGCAATCCAAGCATATAAAACAGACCTCTTTTGTGGGGGGAGAGAATATGACTGATGGGGAAAGATGAACTGGAATGCAGTGAGAACAGATGTGGAGATGTAACAATGGCATTCCTCCCCCATAACTAATATAAGCTAACTGAAAAAAAAAACCCTCTTTTACAAAGACAGGTGTCTTTCCCACATGGCCTTTTACATACCATTATCCTTATCTCTACACCTGAGCAGACCCTGTATATCTGCCTGCTCTACATAGTGACCAACATAAAGCACAGGTAGACGACCCTTGTGCATAGACACACATTGAGGGTGGGGAAGAGAGTGTGATGATGGAAGAAAACTGTGGTGGGAGAAGGGGAGACACTCAAGGTCAGGAATGCATAACTTGTTTATGATGGAAAATTTCTGCAGGGTATTATGCAGGGGAGGGAAAATGAAAAGGATGTCAGGATCTTGTTTCATTACTATCTCTCACATCTGGAATCTGGGCCACCAGCTGGGCCTGGCTATCCTCAATGTTCTTTTGGCACAGACATTTTTTTTTGGGGGGGGGGAGGCAAGGGAGGAGGGAGGTGAGACCAGAATGGGAATAAGAGCAAAAGATCTCATTCTCATTCCTGCCAACTCCACAGAGCTAGGGCTCTGCACCTTCTCTTTACCACCCAGGAAGCTAAAGAAAGGTTGAAAGTGAATCATTAAGCCAAAGAGGGGGTGAGTAGGTGAAAGTGGGGATGAGTTAAAGCCAGGAAGTGCCAGGGGCTGAGACCAGCTGCCAGACAGGTTCCTACTGCCCTCATCCTGGAGAACTAGCCCTCAGCTTCTCCATTTTCAGACCTCCTATGTCCTTTCCATCCTGGAGATCATCATGTTCCTTCATTTCCTTCCTTTATCTGGTATCTTCACACACACACACACACACACACACACACCTCTTTCTCATTGCCTTTGTTTTCTTCATAGCAATTAAGGAATTATTGTCTAAGTTATATCTAGTTTTTTTTTTTTTCCAGATTGGGGCCTTGAACTCACGGCCTGTGCACTGTCCCTGAGCTTCTTTTTGCTCAACCACTTGAGCCACAGCCCCCATCTGGCTTTTTCTGTTTATGTGGTACTGAGGAATCAAACCCAGGGCTTCGTGCATACTAGGCAAGTTCATAGGGATTTTTTGGTTGTTTTTTGTTTTGTTTTTGTGCCAGTACTGGTGCTTGAACTCAGGGCCTGAGTGTTGTCTCATAGCTTTTTTGCTAAAGGCTGGCAACTCTACTACTTGAGCCATAGCTCCACTGTCAGCTTTTTTTTTTTTTTTTTTGGGTCCGGTCGTGGGGCCTGAACTCTGGGCTTGGGCGCTGTCCCTCAGCTCTTCAGCTCAAGGCGAGGGCTCTACCACTTGAGCCACAGTGCCACTGCCGGCTTTTTTCTTTTTGCTTATGTGGTACTGAGGAATCAAACCCAGGGCCTCAGGCATGCAAGGCAAGCGCTCTACCACTGAGCCACCTTCCCAGCCCTCCACTGTCAGCTTTGTGCTGATTAATTGGAGATAAG